TATACATAATATATTTGTTTCTCTGAAATATTGTATAATATTATTTCACCTCTTAGAAACAAAATATTATTTTAAATATATTTGTAATATATTTTTAAAAATATTGATATAAAAACATATAAATAATTTTAACGTAATAATTTTAATCTAGGAAAATATGTTATTTATTATTCTATAATCAATTAGAAAAAAAGTTTAATTTAACTATTATATATATATATATATATATATATATATATATAAAATAGTTAAATTATTTAACTAATTTATAGTTAATATTTATAGTTAATAATAGTTAAATATATATATATATATATATATATATATATATGAATTCCTAATTGTTATAATAAATTATTATAATTCGTTTTTAATTTCAATTTTCTTTATTAAAGTTTGTTTATTAAAGCCAAATAAATAAATATATTTTTTACGCGTTATTAAAATGAAAACATAATGAAATTGAAATAATTAGTTTTCTGTAAGACTTATTTATTTTCAGAATATTTTGATAAGAGTAACATCTGTACACGTGCGTGTACGAATACGTAGAGATACAAGCACGAGTTTTTCAAAATCATATTATTATCTCTTACGGGATAAATTATCATAGAAATAAGATTTGAATAAATTATTGTTATATTCTAGTATAAAATTTAATTTGAAAATTATGTTGAAAATCAAAGGAATGTAAATTTATTCATACAAGATATTTATGAGTAATTATTTACAGAATTATTTACAAATTTGCAATTTTCGTATATCATTATCGTTTCGTACAATTGTATGTGACGTGTACATGAATGATTACTAAAAGAGAAAAGAATGGATGTTGGTATATTTTTTCTTTATAACAGGTGATTATAAAAATTTTAAGGAATCAGGCGGTGTGCTTTCGACATTTTGCATGTACAAAACGTCTAGTTTAAAAGATTCAAGTGAGTTCTGGTGTGTATTCTAAATTTATTGCTTGTTACTTTAGTGTAGTTTAGTGTTGTATTTTCTTAACTATTTATTCAATTCTGGTAGCAACCGGTAAATGATTCAAAGTACTATAATATTTGCATTCGAATATCTGATTTCCTGGATGAAGAATTTGAGAAAGTATTAATGTTTGTATTATTATATGAATATTAAAGGTATAAAATATATAAATAATAAATTGATAATATATTCTACGCTATTAAAATTTAATAAATATATTAAGAACATAAAAATCAAACAGAAAATTATATTTCATATATTCTGTTTTTTTATTGTTACTAATTCAATGAATTAATATAAATTATTCGATTAGAGGATCGTGATCATTATAGTTTTTCAATGTAATATAAATATAGATAATTAGTTTTTGATACATAATTAACGCATATTTAATTATTTGCATTATAATTTTCATGCATAAAATTAAGATTATAATGTATTTTATATATTCAATCATATCTTTTAATAATAATGATATTTTTCTGACCAATTTAAGAAACAAAAGAAGATGTACCATGATCATTAATATTCTAAACATTGCCAGAGTACATATAATTTCATTTATTTATTTACTATTAAATAACATTTATTTATTAAATAAACATTATTAATTAGTATTAATTAAGTACATAGCCTGTTATAATATAATTAAAACTATTTTACACAATAATATTTAAACTATTTAGAAAATTATTATTCTTAAATTAATATGCAGATATTATTAATTGAAATGACAATATATATGTTTATTTTATATAACAGAAGAATCGAAAGTACTTGTATAATAATATTATTCAATACATTAAGTTGAATTATTACAAATTGAACATTGAGTAGTATTATGCACGAATAAAAGATTAATATTTTAAATAGATACATGCATACATGCATGTTGGTGTGTTTGTGCGTGTGCTTGCGCGCGCATTTATTATTATACATAAAAATCAAGTTCTTATTTCATATAGAACCAAGTACTGAAATTGTATAAATAATTTAATTGAAAGAAAAGATTTTTAATTAATTTAAACCATTGAATATGAATATTTTTGTCATTAGATCTATATTCAGTGAAGATCTAAAAATACAAAACATTATATAGATAAGAAGCATATATGCATTACAACGAATTTTTTATTAATTTCGACTTAAAATTGTAGTAAATTTTATAAAATTTTCTATTTATAATAAAATTAAGTGTGGTCAAAATTATTTTAATAATATTCGTTTGAAGACTAATTTAATAAACAAATATTTTGTATATTATCCTCACATGTAGATAAATTATAGAGAAACAAATAATTAATTTTTTATATTTACTAAATAAATTAAGTTTTACACAATAGATTTCATTAATTGCCTTTAAAATTGTAAATGGAATCATAACAATTGAAGCAATTTGTATTTTTATGCATTTATCAGTTATTAAAGGAAGTTGATTGAGAGGCTTCTTAACAATGCAATTAAACAAAAAAATGAATTTCGGAAAACTATATAAATGTGAAAGTGATATGAATTATATATTATGAAAATGAAATAATGTTTTTTAAAAAGTATTAATTTAATTATAGAAAAATATTCACATTTATATTTCAATTCCAATAACATAGAAATTTTTTGATTTTGAAACAAATAAAAGTTTCTGACATATGTTTCAAATATGTTGTATTAGCTATAAATTCCAAACTTACAATAAAATATCATAAATATATTATATAAAATTATATTTAAGAAAGAAATTAAAAAATTACTGTTAATAATAGAATATTATAGAAATTTTAACATTAGATAAATTTAAAGATAATTTTTCAAAGGCTTATCAGTTTTATAAATAATATTAGATTATAGATTATTCATTGTTTTTCATGTTCTACCAATATGAGAAAAAAAAATTAAATAATTTGTTTTATCGAATATTTAAGATAATAGTTGGTTTCACTTATAACAAACATAACGTAGTATTTAATCTAAGTTATATCTGAATTATAAATTTAAATTCTAAATGGAAGTTTATTATTTCTTTATTATTTTTAAATTGTAAATAATTAGTATGTATGGATAATAATAGGATATTATTTGTAAAAAAAATACAAATATATATATATATATATATATATATATATATATATATATAATATGTAATCTATTTATAAATTTGATAAATACAGCATATTCTGTAATAAAATCAATGTTGACAAAATTACAATTGCATATTGCATTTATTGAATTATTTTGTCAAATTAAAGGAAAATTTAAATAATTAATTAATTAGTATCTTAAGATATTTTAAAAGTTAGTGGGATTGAACGTATAATCGTAAATTTAATTTATTAAATCTTTTACGCTATTTGCTTCTCGGTTGATGAAATACTTAAAAAATATTATGCGAAGCGTATATCGATATTGATTTACCATTAAGTATAAAATGTATATGTATATAAATAATATATAATGAAATACAGAAGAATAAAAAAATATTGTTTAAAAACATAAATTGTAAATAAATTAAAAATTTACTTTTAGGACAAGTTGATAGTGAAGAATTAAAAATATCTTACAATTGGTAATAAAATAAACTTATGGCTTTTTAAATGAAATTTTTACTTTGCTTAATCAATTATTGATAATATTTAACAATTTTAATTGCGTGATTTTTAAAATTAGTGTATATTTGACGTTTTTAATAAAATTAATGTATCTTTAATTTTTCTTTTGTTATCAACAAGCTTAGAGTGATTAAGAAAATTAAGAATTGAACAAAATCTACGTAAATAATAATATTTATGCATGTTAAAATACAATTAATTTTTTTTTCAACTATAATGTTTATTACATTTATAAAAAAATCGTCATAATATATTTTTTGTAAACTCAAATGATGCTATTTAGATCAGATATTTGGGAAATTTTGAAGTTGAAAATTGAAAGTAGATGTTTCAGAGTTAATGAAAAATATCAAAACAGATATTTCATCCACCTTGTCTTATTATTCCATTTTTATTCAATATTTGTATATTTCAACTAATTTAATAAATTATAAAGTGTAAAGAAATATTACGTATTATTTTCAGCTTTCCTGTCAAAGGGCAGTCAGATCTTGAATTATGCGTTTTTAAATTTCGTGATTGCGTCTAACAATTTTGGAAAAAATCACAATCACTGTTTAAGTAATAATGACTTTGTATTATGCGCCTTGATCGGTATTGGTAAAGTACCTTAGATTATGAAAAAAAAAGAAGAAAAAAAACTAGAAGACTATGTTTCATGCAGAACATAAATGTAAATTTTAGTTTCTTTTTCTTCTTCCTCATCTATTTACACTAAAAATCAAATGAAAAATTACATTACAGAAACTTAGATTGATGAAAATGTAATGGAAGCGACTTTCTTGCATTGCGATCATTCCTCGAACGAATGGGATTTCGCTTTGGCTTTTAACGTGGAAATATGCGTGACATTATGTACAGTAGTGGCAAGAAAAACCTGCGCCCAATCCATAAAAATTTGATCTATCGTTTCATCCGTGCGAGCATCGGACTTTCTGCACACCGACGGTCCCGTCCTAGCCGTTAAGAACAACCGCTGAAAGCCGAGGGAAAGTGAGAGATAGATAGATAGATAGATAGATAGATAGATAGATAGATAGATAGATAGATAGATAGATAGATAGATAGATAGATAGATAGATAGATAGATAGATAGATAGATAGATAGATAGATAGATAGATAGATAGATAGATAGATAGAAGAGAGAGAGAGAGAGAGAGAGAGAGAGGCCGGTATTTCTTGCCTTCTTCTTTCGGCCCGATCATCTCAGACACGAGGGTAAGTCCGTCCAACTACCACCTCCGATATCCAACTCGGCGTCCGAGCCGCCGGGGTGCGGCGCGTTCCTCGGCTTCGCGAGATAAGGGCCCCTGCCCCTTCTTGCCCCTCGCGCCGGTACGGCCCCTCCCACGCGTCTCTGGAGCCGGCGTAAAGAGGAGTCGGGGCTCGGCTCAGTCGCGCTACGAGCGGTCGCTGGAGAGGAAGTTGAGAGGCCTCGCGGCAATCGGCCGTGGGCTCGCGTGTCGCCTCGCCGCGATGACCTCGTGACGAAGGGCCCCCTAAGCTGCTCCTCCTCGGGGAACCGCCGCCCCCGGATAATGTCGAAGAAGCAGTGGCTGGTGCTGCTGATGCTGTTTCTCACTTACCTCCTACTCGGTGCTTCGATATTCTACCACATCGAGAGTCGGCTCGAGGTCGAGAAGGTGCGCGTGGCCAAGGAGGAGCGGATCGAGATCAACGGTGAGTCGATTTTATCGAGAGGGCAGACCACCGCTTTCATCCATTCATTCGCCAACTCTCGATTTTCATATCGTTCGGCTGGGATGATGGAGGTGGTGGGACGGGGTATGACCAGGGGGCGCGCCCTTGTAGTAAACTCGTTGTTTACTTGTGCGTAACTTTAATCGAAACTGGGAGCTGAGCTTTATGTAAACTCGATTCCTTGTAGTGATAGTAGCGTCGATCAATTTCTTGTTATGTTGTTAGAATTATTCAGTGTGAAAGCGGGCGCCTGGGTTCGTTCGACATGTATTTTGCTCTTAAATGTGAGCAACAGCTAAGAGCTTTAAGTATGAGCATACGAGGACCAAGAGTTCAACTCGAATGTTACGCACCGTTTCTTCGATACTTTACATGTAACAGCGTGTTTAGTTAAAAGCTCATAATGTAATGCAATATGTAGTGTAATTAGTTGAGCCGAGTACTTGATTTGCAATACTGTTTCATACATTGTATTACACATGTAGCCAAAATTTGAAATCGACTTAAGAGAATCGAGAAAGCCTAAATAAGTCAAATCTTACAATGTATTTGCAACTTTATTTTAATGCGAAATAAACATACTTTTGATATAATTCTTAATTATTTGTTGAAAAACAACAGTTTTTCATTGTATACCATATTACATATGTAAAACATCCTAATTACACATATTGTACATATTACACGTCAAACGATTATTAATATTACTATTCCAGTCGTTGTTATTATAGCAAACTTCATACAATTTACAATTTAATGGATATCTTGAATTACTATTACATAAACAATTATATTATTCTCCAATTTATAAAATTTATTAATTTATTTATTTTAAGCATTATTAAGCATAGATTTGCAACATTAACGTATATAAATTAAGAAAATGAAAGAATACCATTCGATGTTGTTCATAAAATATCTAATTATTTATTGTTCTTATTTTTACCACAAATATTTCATTAAAGTGTTTATTTCATTAAATGTAAAAATAAACGTATATTCACATCTTTAAAGTTCTATCTTAATTTTATTAAACTTCTTGTGAAGTTAAGTTGATTTATTTATAAAAATATTTCGTGCACATAATAATCATGTGAAATTAATTTATTATCGCTCCTTACAAATTTCATGTAAATATTATTTATCGTATTAGTATTTATAAAAGTTGTGATATTATTTTACTCATCCATTAGTTGCATTTAGAGAATAGCAATTAATAACATTATAATTGAAATTCACATATAAAACTAATGCAATAATTTATTTGAAATGAAAATAAAAGTATCTACAAATGTTAAATTATAATCAAAGTATAATGGTTATTTCTTTTATTAAATAGTAATTTTTTTTTAATCTATACAAGATAATTTATATATGCAATAAATTAAATATGTTATATAGATTAATAATTTTTAATTTTATACATGTCATAAAGTAATTATATTTTATCTGCATTATTTTTTATAGAATACAAAATTAATTTGATCAGTCTACTTACATACATAGTTCGTGTAAATTTCATATAATTCTTATAGTTTTATTTCATATTAAAATAATTTAATTATTATATTTTTAAATAATCGAGCATTTACATTATGTAATAATGATATTTGACATTCAGAGGAAATTTTTATTGTAGTAACAATTTAAAGTAAACATATACACGGGAAAAAATGTCACTATTGCAACATTTCGCAATATGTTCCATTCCGTATATTCTTTAATTTATATCTAATGATAGCCAATTGAATGACAATTAATGAAATATTTAAATTTATTAAAAAAAAATTTTATTTCATACATAAATTCGTACACAGTACGTTGTAATTATGTAGAATTGTCGTAATTGAAAACAAGGGATTGTTTATTTTCATTTGTAAGTATCAACGTGCTTTCTCAATTATAATTTCTATAATATATTATTACAGTGTCGATATATCGTTATAATTCTGTCAAATCCGACATTAATTTATTTATTTTGGTTAAATATACATTATATAAAATTCAATACTTAAAAAATAAGTCTAATTTTTTATTTATTAATCGATGAAGATATTGATTGATGTTTCACAATGTATTGAATAATATTTTGTCAAAACATTTGACACACTACTCACTATATTTTGAAATTGATAATACGCGTTAGTTTCTTGGTTTATAAAATTTTAACTTTGTATTTACAAGTGCAGCAAAAAGTGAAAAGAGTGGAAAAACGGCGCAAAAGCCAGATGAACGCGCGAAAATTGTCGAACCAAAGGAAAACGGAATATGCGTCGACCAATGCTGTCGTATAAATATACGCGATCGGGAAAACTTCACGAACGTAAAGTTCCACCGTTTTTACAATTGAGAGCTGCCGGCAATTAATTTGTCCATTCGCAATGAAGCTTTCATGTGTGTGCATACGAGCGCATACGTATAAGATATATGAGCCCTTCAGGCATCAACGTACGCTAGCACGTTCTATCCTTCAAAACAATTATTTCATTGTCCGCGCACATTTGTACACATACGTTCCAAGAGCTTTATCGTAATTTTCCGCGACGACTTTCACCTTATTTTCATTTTTTTTTGTTTTTTGTTTTTTGTTTTTTTTGTTTTTTTTTTTGTTTTTTTTTTTGTTTTTCATCGTGGATCGTTTAATATTGATAAGAGAATCGAGTGTGCGTGAGGGCGATCGATATCATTCCTGATGTGTGCCAATCTTCTGCGCAATTGATAGATGCCAATTTTTTATTAATATGTCGTTGAGAATTATCGTTATCTTGCCTCTTTATAAGTGTGCGAACTCTTTTTTTGAGCGTGTGCGTGCGCGCGCGTGTACGCGTATGCATATACGTGTATCGATTGAAAATACGTGGAAAAATCTTAGAGATATCGACGAGTTTCGATGAATTTCATTAATTTTTTCACATTCATTTATTTTCAACGATATAATTTTTCACTAGTGAGATTTAATTTGAATGCATTTCTAACGTATTATTAACGGTTTGTATATCCAATACTTCGGGTATGGTAATTTTTCATTGATCAATCAAATAAAAATTAAAAAGACATAGAATTATTATTTTTAATACTTAGTGAACATTTAGTACAAAGTTGATACATCGAATACAGAGAAAATATCTTTAATTATTAATTATTTAATTTTCCCCAATTATTATATATTTATTATTATAGAGGCGTGTTAATTAAGTAATATTATTCGTAAATTTTCTGTCTTTTAAAAGAAATAAAATGGAATAATCATATTATACATATTAAAATGTCGGTGCGAGACTAGTTTTACATAATAGATTCGATAAAAATTGTATAATCTTTTATAATCTTTTCTAATATTTATTTGCTTATTCTATTTGATCCGATCATCTAGCATGAAAAATTTATAAAATGCTTTATACCGATAAAGGAATTGAACAAAAAATTTACATCAGTTTTATCCATTTTTTTTTTTTCGAAGCTGCTAAAGATGCTTCATAATTTGATTTGATAAATTATTAGTACAATAATTGATTATTTTATACAATGAGTACATTTCTGTATGAAAATGTCTTCAAAATATAATCAAATATTAATGATTAAGACAATAAATAATTTCCTTACATTGATTAATATCATTTAATAATCTGAATCTGACCCCCTTCGATGATTAATTAGCAAAATTATTGAATATGTCAACCGTTCCATTAATTCCAATAATTTATATATACTTTACAGTTACATTTATAATTTTCTATTTTTTGAAAATTGATTCTTATATCTGCATTGTATTTAGTATTAAATTAATAGATTTCTAAATGCCATTTAACATCGGATGTTTAAATAAAAATAAATAACCATTATTTTATATTTCATTACATATATATTTATATATCTTATTAGCTATATGATGTTGAAAGTATTATTTATAATATTACTCAATACTTTTAGAATAGATCCTTTAAAAATTATTATCAATTTAATATAGGTGGTCCTACCTTTATCTTTAGTGATAGTATTAAGTGTACTTTGATAAAATAACGAGACTACAATGGAGTTTAATCAAACAAATTTGAAAACTATATTTTTACAATCCAACCATTTGCGATAAATATTCACTTTTCAAGATAATAAGGATATTGGCTTTTATTATATCATTGGAAGATAGTAAATTCTTTTGTATTGGCACTCATTAATTTTCTTCAAGTGAGTCTTTATAAGTTAAGAATTACAGAGAGTAGATACTAGATATACGAATTGCATCCAATACAAAGGCACATAATGTTTACTCATATTTTATTAATGAACGCGTGTTGTCTCTTTGCGGTATCATTTAATCGGTAGCTTTCAGTATGCGAGACCTGTGTTTGTCGAGGAAAAGGTCGCACTTGCATTAGTGAAACTCGTAGTCTTTATGCGGTCAAAATCTAGATTTGGTAGATAAATACGAGAGCTATAACGTATAAAACTTACGCATCTTGTCATTGAAATGTGAAATGAAATGTGTGTGATAGACTTAATGTTCCTTAAAACAAAATTTTTAAGTTCACACAATATAGTAATTATTCTTATTTTTAATGTAATAATGCATTATAATTGTAATACTTTCCGCTTAATTATGACGATTACATTAATTTATATTTAACGAATATGAACAAATACAATATAAAATAGTATGTGCTTAGATAAGATGAACATTTCAAATGCAAATTCAAGTGTCGAATTAATGTAATAATTATTAAATAATAATTCATGCTAAGTTTTCAATTTAATTATTTCTCCTTTTGTTTTAAGTATATTGTAGATAATGTTGAATCAATTTTGCAGCTAATATTGATTAATATTATGTAAAAAATTTTATACGAAAGTTTGATGTGATGTTTATTAGGATGATATATATTTTTAGAAATATAGATTAAACATATTGTTTTTATTAAATGATTTTTACAAAGTACTGTAAAATGTTTATATTTGTATTAACTGATATACCTTAAAACTTA